GTAAGTATATATTTGTTTCCACTGTTCAATCAGAATCCTAACACAGTGTAAATGTCCAAGAGACACATTTCTTTGTCAGGTAGCTATGAGTTATATAATTGGTTCAGCAGGAGAAAACACATTAAACATGACATATTTGAAAATCTTTACATTGGTCTCCCATCAGTTGTAATTGATATTTTCTCATGCTTATTTAGGAGGTACTTCCTAAAGTCAATTTTGGCCTCTTTTTTTTTTAAACAGCCTTTAGTCTTTTTGCTGCCAAAGGATATCAGAGCAAAACATCTGTTATGTTTTTATAAGAATGTAAAATGGCCGTTATTTAAATTAAATCGATGCATTTATGTTCTAAAATGTTTTGTCTATTTTATTGGTTTGATCATTTGTATAATTTATTGAAATCTTTGGATCGCACTGATTTGAAAACTGCCATACAGATTCACTTTGTTTGCTGTGTAACGCTCAATAATGTAAAGTCATTTCGCCAATGTTCAACTAAACACACAGGATGTCTCTATTTTCAGGGTCCTTTCGGCCCAGTTGGAAAAAAAGGAGAGGTGAGCGACATCAATGTTATACATCTTTCTGCTTGAATATGTGTTCATCTTTTTTTATTTTGTGTTACTGTACTGTCTCTACGGATTACCCAGGGACTAAAAAGTGTTTTGAATTGAATCTCTATTTTGTTACTTGTGTTTACTGATACGTTGGCAGTGTTGTATACACCTTCATGGACCTGATCACTTAAAAAGATTTTAAAGATGCCATAGCTGAACCTCTATTAGCACTCAACTTAGTTAGTTTCAATGTTGTGTGTGTGTGTGGGTGTAATTAGCAGCACAAGTTTGTTTCCAAACTCCCTTTGTGTCGGCTCCCTTACTCACCATTAAAATGGAGCCTAGCTCCGAGCTGCTGCCCACTTGTCGAGTCGTGCACATGATTCTGCTTCACATTCCAGGTTTAATAGGATTAATTAGAGATAGGTATTGTTGCTTTGGCTTTATTGGCCTGTTCGCTGCTACAGCCACAAGGGAGACCAGTCACATTAAGAGCAGCACAATTTATGTAATTAGAGACGCCATATTAATCCACCCCCGCATTGTCTCAACAGACCTGCGTGCTCCTTGGATTGTGTTTATTAAACGATCAAATCAGAGGCTTATGGATGTTTTTAGCTCCACTTTGGAACAAATTCATGTCTTTATTTTTGCAAAATGTACCAAGTTATTTACGAATAATACTCTGTGATTATAGTCAGGAAAGCGGGGTGAACTGGGACCTAAGGGCGTGTCTGGTCCTCAAGGAGAGCTCGGAGCAAGAGGGCCTCCAGGGAAGATAGGACTGATGGGCTTCCAAGGGGAGCAGGGTCTGCCTGGAATTGCCGGAAAGACAGGTGTACCCGTGAGTGGTTTTGTAAATCTTTAAGGAGCTTCTGATTGATTGACGCATACATTTTTGTATTTTATGAACTGCCTGAAAACATGGGTTATGTACTTGTGTTTCAGGGTATACTGGCGAGTGAGCAGCACATCAGAGAGCTGTGTGGCGTAATGGTCGATGGTGAGACTTCTTAATTGACCTTGTTCTGTGATTTACTCCAGTGTGGGATACAATCTAAACTGGATAATAAACCCTATGGTGTTTTCTATCATACAGACCAGATTGCTCAGCTGGCGGCTAACCTTCGAAGACCCCTGGCCCCTGGGATGGTGGGCCGCCCCGGACCTGCAGGACCCGTAGGAGAGCCAGGAGATGCTGGCTCTATCGGGCATCCAGGTTCCCGTGGACCCCCAGGGTACAGAGGCCTGCCAGGAGAACTTGGAAACCCAGGAACACGAGGTGTGAAACATTCTAATCAGTATGGACTGATCTATTGAAAACATATCACAAGATAGACCTGAGGGTGATGAGATGATTAAAGGAAAAGGAAAAGCCAAACAAATGGGCATATGGTTTTGAAGTTCTCTCTGATTCTTGGTTTTTTGGGGATAATGGTCTGTGGGCCTTGATCAGTTATTCAAATGAAACCATTCGATCACTAACAGGGGCCGATCCCCCTTAATGGAACTGCTCACAATGAGGAATACCTCTTGTCAAATAAAAAAAGAGGAATAAAAAGTAACATTTCTGAAATACAGATTAAACGTGTAAAAAGAAAGTACTCAAGTGGAGAACAGTACTTGGGGAAATGCACTTTACACCATTGATTCAATTGTTCTGTTTTCACTACAGGTAATCTTGGAGAGCAAGGAGATAAGGGATCATTTGGTAAAGCTATTGATGGGCCAACTGGAGACCAAGGATACCAAGGTATGTGGCCCGAAACTTTCAATCTAATTTGTAGTTAACAACATTGTAGCTTAAGCTCTTATTAAAATCAGTAAATACTGAATAATTTACAGCCGCAAATGGAACATAAATGGGATTAGCTACACCAGTGCTATTGGTGATAAATCAAAAGTAGACAATGTGAGTCTATTGTGTAATTTGAAATGTTGGCATTGAAATCAAACAAGAAAGATTCGGCGGGAAAATGGTGGGGAGTTTTGTTAAGGAAACCCATCGCCTCACTTCGCAAGTTTCCTCAACCTCATCGCACCACGGGCGCCACTGCTTGCCGTGTATTGTGCCTGAGGTGAATGACCTTTGAGGCGATGTAGTTCCTCTAAATTCAACACTTAATCTCGTAAATTCAGAGTTTTTTATCCAGATATTGACCTCCTCCCAGGCTATGTCATTATTATTATTTTGAACCTACTGTGGCCCTAATGGGGCAGTTACATATCATAGAAAACAACCGCTTCCGTTTGTCTCTGGCTCATTCCGTCTATGCTTTCCACAGGTGTTCCTGGAGTAGCTGGAATTGTCAAAGACGGGCGTGATGGATCTCTAGGAGATCCAGGTGAGCCTGGAGAGTCAGGCAGGGTGGGTAGGACTGGGCACCAGGGAACACCTGGAATCTGTGACACATCAGCCTGCCAGGGAGCATCAGTCGCTGGAAAATCCTCCAACCCCAAAAACCATTAAACATCCTGAAACCTGGTGCCTCCACCTCGAGGAGGAAGGGAGGAATGAAGGAAGAGAGTGGTCACAAAAAATGTCCTCTTTATTAAAATAACTTTCTCACAAGATGAGAAGAGTAACATCAAACAGGTGTGATATTTTGAGAGGAGAGGAGGAACATCTGAGGAGTGAGATGAAAAACAGAGCAACTGAGAGACAAAACATCAAAATGACATCCAGAAACGAAGTGGACCGAGGCCAAGAAGAGTCCCAGAGAACAACAGCAATGCTCCAAATACTACAGTATCACATAACAAGACTTGACAACTGGAAGAGAACGACGAGTCCTTTTGTGTATAAAAACTTTGTACATGCCCCCATTACCTTGGTTAACATTTGTCTGCAGAAAAACAACAGTGACTGGCTCTGAGGTGAATGTGCATGTATCATTGCCCATTCAGGTCAATCACAGGTGTTACCCCAACATACAAGCTAACAGTGTCAAATATGGAAACAGGTGGCAGAGGCAAAACAACCTCTGTCAAGGAGCTGTGTGTGTATTGTAAAAGGAATAAAAAACACAAATACCCAGGTGCCCAGAAATTGTGTAGATTAATGCAAAAACGTTTACCCTTTGATAGTCTTGTTTTTTTTCTACAGCTTCTTTGTTTGTATTTTTAAATGATTCTTTAGCTTTGAGAATCAACAACAACAATACTTGTGGATGCATAAATCAGACATTGTAAAATAAATGTAAGAACCTTAGGAGCAGTCTTTTTTTTTGGGTAATCTACAATGACAACATCCACTATGTACTACCGGTGCTGTAACTATTAAATATACATGACCTTAAATACTATTTATTATTTGTGGGTGACTGTTGTATGTACAGTAAGATGCTACAGCGACATGTTGTAAGAAAGAACAAATAAAGCCACTTTTCAGTAAAGGATTACTCTTCTCTGCATCAAATGAACAGTCTGCATGTCAGAGGAATATGCTAACAGAAATGCATATCAAGTTATCCCATTCATTTACAGAACTTTAAATTAGGTGCAGATGAATTTAAGTGCATTTACACTTAGATATATGATTTAAGAATAAATGTATGTCGACAAAAAACTGAACTGAATATACTCTATGAACATTTTGAAATTTAAATTCAATCAAAATACAGTTGATTATGAAAAGGTGCTCAGATAGTTTAAACAAAATTCATCACTGAAGAGTTGAAAATCTAGTCCATACAGAACTATCTGCTGTTTGCAAAGGGAAACAGTGCCACCTACAGTATGTATGACACCGCCTGATGCAGTGTTGTCTTAAGATGCTGCAGAAAAAGAACAGCCCTGATTGAGCATCACACATTGTGGGACTGGAATAAATGATATATATATAAACCATTGTAATGCAGTAAGAGGCAGAGCTCCTCTCAAAGGATGCTTTTTGTTTAAAATGTTACAACACATTGACCTAACCCATAGCCAGAACTGATGGAACAACCAAAGCTTGAATGTTAAATTCATCTCAAATGTCTGGCTGATGTATTAGATCAAGTATGGAAAGGGTCATTGCTCTACCCCAAGAGGGATGCTCAGCACCGTGTCCATCTCCCGCTGGATCGGGTTCTTGCTTGAAGAAGGGCTGGATTTCAGAAAGTGCTCTTTGCCCTCAGAGAAAGCCCTCTGAAAATCCTGGGGGGAGAGTAGCACATCTTTCTGGTTAGTGAGAGCAAGTATTAATAGTAAAGCTTTCCAAAAAGGACCGTGCTGGTGAAACATTCTACTACTCATTAGGGATAGGTATCGTTAAGGTTTTAACGGTACTACTACTACTTTTATCGATACCGCTTATCGATTCGGTCCTCGAACGGTATTCTTATCGGTTCTTTTAAAAAAAAAAAAGGTAAATTATCTAAACAAAATAAATCAAATAAATAATATTTCACATCAAAAGAAACAACAATGTTGTTAACAAATCCCGTATTAGACATCATGTGATGATAGACCGAACTGTCAACCGAATAGCTGAAACTTTAGAAGGTGACGCATGTCTGCTTTCGGTTATTACTCGTGCGCCGTTTGTGGTGTTCTGAAGGCCTTTTCTGTCTGTAAACGGTGTGCAGAGTCAAAACGCCTCAAAGCTACACCTGTAGCGAGTAAAACTCTAAAGCGGCGAGACACTCTCCCAAACACGCCTCGTCGTGAAACCGTGCATCACTGCGTCAGTCCTCATTCTGACTTCTTCCCGGTACGTGGGCTTACGAAAGCCCGTACCGCTCTCGCCTCGTGGAGCCGTTACGGTAGCGTCGCGAGCGGTTCCGATTAGGAGCCCCGCGATTGTCCAAAAATTCCCCAATGCCAGCGCACCCACTCAGTGCTCCTCTGCTGGATCTTCTGCTCCCGGCTGCCGGCTGATAACAGACCTTGCGGCTCGCGGCAGAATTCGGCTCGCAGAGCCCGTTCAGCGTTTATCTTCTCAACGTTTTTCTCTACTCAATGTATCAAGCCACACTCGTAGTGCTGGTGTTACCTTTCTGCGCTTTGGTGTGTGCTCGCGTTGACTTCTCGCCTGCTCGCTCCTCGCTACGCCCGGAACGTCACGGGACGGGGGCGGGAGGAGCGCAGGCGAGCGTTTGAGTGGAGAACCGTATCTCTTCTATTGTGTAGCTATACCGGGCGCCTCAACCAATGGAAATTATTGGATCAGTGGAAATGGCCGTCTGACATGCTGACCGTCTCTAACAAATAAATAGGACTCGTTAGCTCTAAAGTCATTCAACCGAGGCTGGTGGGTTGGTCCTCATTGGTAGTTTCTCCGTGTGTCTGGTGCTAGCATATCACATAACACACCGTGACGGGGAAAAGGTGTACTCGTGGATGGGGCTACACAGAGCTACTGAAAGGACAGTCCGGAACCCGGTGCATTCCTTCCGTCTGAATGTGGAGCACTTTTGCCTAAATTTTAGACAAAATTGCTCGTGTTACCGCCCTTACATGCTAAACTGTTATTGCACTTTTGGCAACGAGCATTGTCCACATCGAGACGGGTAAAGTTTAACCACACCTCGGAGCGCGTTCTCTCCGCCATCTCCTTGCGTTGCATGACCACTTGCCTCTTCTTAACAACAAAGCATTCGTAACCTCTATGTGCTTTATTACAGATAGTCCATCTATAAGACGCATTGCAAAGGAACACTAAAACAGGCTTGTGTCATATAAGGAAAATGTAGGCAGCCTTAGCCTCACACTGTCACTGTCTGACAGAAACTACAGAACTAGATCATTCCCACACAGTAAAATAATCAAGTTAATTATTTAAAACTTTAAAACTCAGAAGAATAAGATTTGAACTTTAAGTTAAATCAAGCAAATGAATAATGCTAGTTAACTGAACACAAATGTACCTCTTTGAAGGTGTCTCCATATGTTTTATAGATGTGTTTAAGGAAGGCAGTGGTCATCTGCAGGGTGGTGACTTTGTCTGTATCCGACTCACAGAATGGCACCAGCATGTTCAGCTCATCACAGTACAAACGGATCCTCTTCCTGTGCAGAAAACAATACAAATGTTTATAATCTCTCTAATTAATAAATGTGTCGTTTGGCCAAAGAAATTCTAAAACCAAAATCAGTTGGGAACTTCCCAGTAGAGAACCTAAAACCAGGAAATGTTTGGGATGGGTGCTTGAATTGAATTTAACATTTATCAAAATCGACTGGAAGAGCCGGTTGCAGACTGACAAAGCATATTCTAGTTTCTGCAGTTATTTATTTATTCCATCCTGCCAGCACAAGCAATCTTTATACCTAGTTGTGTAGCTTAGGCCTCTGTGGCTGAGCATCGTTAGCATAGTAAAACACATGTGGGTATAGCATGCTAAACTCATTTGAGTATACATACTATCATCATTAGCAGTGTTAATTACACATCCACTCAATTAATACAGAATTATTTCAAATGTATATATTGGTTATTGTAACCTCAATTGATCAAAAATGTTTGTTATAGAGCTCCAATCCCTATTACCTGCTTGTCATAGGTCAAAATGCCAAACAGGAAGTGAGAGCATTCAATAGGCTTTATAGTAGATGGGACTGTACCACGTTGAGCAAGGACAGAGGGTACGTTTGACATTTTATATTGTTAACGTTTGTATACGTATTATGAAAATAAGAAAAAATGGTTTGAAATGTTTGTTGTTTAACATGATAATTGTATTGTCTTCATTCAATATGCACTGGCAGTACTCTCTCTTTCACCGTGTTCATATATCATTATGATGACTACTTAAATCGCTGAAATATAAGGGAATAAACAAGGAACTCATTCCGGACACAGTCTGTAGTGAAAGCTGAGTAAGGCATATACACCTTTGAAATTATATTTCATTAAACCTCATCAAAAATGTATGATGGAGCAGAAACACTTTCAGCTTTTGGTTATGGGTGCTCACCTGCGTTCCCTCTCCTTAATGTTGTGTCTCTCCCTGCGCTGGATATGTGACATGTGGGGTCGAGCCCTTTTCCTGGTGCTGCTCCCTGATTTTCCGGCGAAGTCTGGGTCAGTCGAAGCAACCTTTGTAGGTTGAGAACTTTGGGTACTATCCTGCTTCCTGAAGGCAGTACGTGTCACCACATCATCTATGGAAAACACCACGGTGTATAAGATGTAAATAGAACACAAACAAGAAGAAAAACATTTATTTTGACAAGACACGGTTAAGAGCCCTGATTATTACTTTCTATGTTGAACAACAGCTGGTCCTCTGTTGAGTTGCAGCCACCGGTGAACTGAGATTTTGCACCAACCCTCTCTGGGCAGAAATTAATTGAGAAACTCTTTGGGATGATTAAACCCTGGTGCTTGTTAGGTTCAATCATGTGAGGAATATGGCCAATCACCTGAGGTCCAGGAAGAAGAAAAACATATTGATCAATTAATTCTGCCTGTGATGCCCTTAAAGCTGTAGTAAATTGCATTTTAATATATTTGTTTCATACTTGTTCACACATGTTGGGTATTGGGGTAAATACACCCCCAACAAATGGGCTGGAAACATCAAACCGCATTTGAGGGTGTTTGACTGCATCTTGAGCCTCAGCAGACTGCTGCAGCATTGTCAGAAAACTGAAACACAACAACAAAGATTTAGTAATTTCCATTCAATTTAGCATTATGGGGTTCTGTTACTTAACACGTAGTAATGCACATTAATAGGAATGCCTACTTGCTAAGAACTGCCGACTTGATATCTTGATGTCTTGGGGTGTCAGCAGACATGGTGTTAAACCTCTTCTCCAAACAAACTCTAGCAGCAGATACAGATTTTCTCTGTGAAAATGAGCTGCTGTTGGAGTAAGGTTCACTCTGGCTGTCTTCTCCTCTGACTCTGGCCAGCACAAAACCTGGGACCTCTCCAAAGGAAACTGGTGTCTTTTCTCCTGGCATCAGACTGTAGTCATCAGTTGAAGTCGAAAGGTCAATAGCTTGAGTGGTTGCTAAGGGGGATTGTGCTGTGGATCCAGTGGTGTCTTTAACCATCACTGTAGCACCTGGATGAGATTTGGCATTTGGCAAATCTAAAGGGGTAATGTGTGCCTCCATATGAGCCTGGATAAGGTGCTGAAAGTTTGTATATTCAACCTCTGACAACTCCATCATGCCGAGCTCAGGTCCCATCATGGGCCCATGATCATGTGTCAAACATCCACCTTGGCTCAAAATCACCCCAACAGGGTCAAAGGTGTGTTCTCTGGAGGAAGGTGACACATAGAGGGAAGACATACTTCACTCTAGAGTTTGGATGAAGAGCAGAAAAAAAACGTTCAGTTATACCAGAACAGGCTTTTAATAGGAGCTACATTCCATGTTAACAGTCCATGGTAATCACAATGTAAATGGTAATGACAATGTGATAATGCACCATTATATTATCTTAAATTGAAATTAGTTTTGTATTCTGTTAATTCAATGGTAAATTTGTATAATTGTATGCATTTTAGTGGCTCTGTATTCGATGTGATATCAATCTTTTGTCACTATTTTATGAGATTGTAATTATCTACTGTGAAGTACTTTGAACAAATTAAGCTTATTAATATTATTATTATAATTATTAATATATTGTTATCAACCGACCTTAACTTAATGTCGCCCTGTAAGCGGCCTTGTCCAGAGTATTAACGATTATCCTAATTAGAAACGAACATTGTAACGTAAACATATTAACACGGAAAATACTGATGTTAAAAAACTAATCCACAACTTCAAGTAAACAGTGGTGTAAAAAGAATTCCGCTAGCAGTCAAATACTACGTGACATTAAATTAGCATACGAGGAACTTTAAGCTAGTAAGCTAACCTTAAATTTGACAAGACGTTGGCTTTGGCCTAACGTTACATTTGAAAATACGTTTACAATCGAGGTAAATAACGATACATCATTACAAACATGTTTAAAAGTCCACTAACACGTCTTTAAATGTATAACGAGCTAAAATATATCATTAAACTCTATTTGCCTTATTATTGGGCCTTTACTTACTTCAATGCCAACTCCTTACTTGACCGATGGACGCTGGGTAGTAAGGACCTCTTTACACTGTGTGGCTGTCATGGCTGAAGCCTCGGTTTATTTATTTTGTATGTATTATATATTTTGCAGACGGAAAAGACTGTCAATAGTAGTAGTGCTATAACCCAATTGTGTACAAGCATTGATGAAAACTTAATTAGGGTCATTCCAGAATTGGAGGACAATTTAGACACCAACATTTTTGAAAAATGAACCTTTTATTTTATTTTATATTTTTTATGTATCTAGGAAAAACAGATAATAAACCATCAAAAAAAGTGATTTGCCCAGCTAGGCATCAAATGTATATTTTCCAATGAAGAATTACCCCTGTTACTCTAATTATAGTAACAGGGTTGAAAATCAATGCTAATTTGAGCCTTTAACCTCAGGAATTATTGCTAGATGTAGCATGTAATGCTACTTTCCAAGGCAAGGACAAACTTGGATATCTAATGCAAGAAAGATAACTTTGAAATTAATATGTTTTATTCTGATAATATCAGGAACAGGGTTGAGTGGGTCAGAGTGCCACACTCTTTTAAGACTGAAAAGATTGTAAAAATATGAAAAATAAAAGAGAGGACTTAGTTTTGGTCTACCCATGGCACTAGCACATGGCTTGCTGATGTCACTTCCACTGTGTCATCAGATTTACAGTGTTTTCACTTTCTGTGCCAATCTAAAAAGGTTTGGGTAACAGGGTTGAACGCATGTTGAGGGACACCCCTTCTGTGCAAAATTACTGTTATTTAAAATATGTTTATGATTTAACAAATAGATTTTACCATTACAAGAGACATATATCAATAGAATAATACCAAAAAAAGTAAATAAAATCCCTATTTTAAATGTTATATTTGACATGCAAGTTGGTCACCAAGAAGCCGGGACAAGAGAAAAAGGCCATTTTAGGGGATGTTCGAGAGCTATTTGATTATTTAAATAATATTTTGAAACCACTTTTTCTACAACTTTATATACATTTTGTCTCAAGACAAGTATGTTTAACACAAAAAGTGCATGTTTTAGCATTTTGGGCATGGATTATTAGATTTTTTATATGGGGGACATGAAATGTCCTCCAATTCTGGAATGACCCATTAATTACTTTGAGCACCAGTAACGGTAGGCCTAGTATTTCCAGTCCATTATGCTACTACTCAACTGGGTTAGGGTTAGGGTTATGTCAAGCTGGCAAATATTGCACTCTCTTACTCTTTCAAAAATATTTTTTGTCAAGATATGTTGTTTACAAATAAAGAAGAAATTAACAAGAACCAACAACATAAGTTAATTGTCTATAATACGAGGTACTATAGTCTACTGTACATTAGGCTATGTTAGATTCAATATTTACAAGCTTCCTACATACACAAAGGTGGGATAAGTACTTAGATCTTGTACTTGACTAAAAGTAGAAGTACAAGAGTGTAGGAATACTCTGTTATAAGTAAAAGTATAGTATTCAAAATGTTACTCAAGTAAAAGTACAAAAGTATTAGCATATTAGTAGCTAGTTTTAATTACTTTGTTGTGAATTTACTCCAGTAAAGTCTTATTTAAGAGTTGTTTATATTTTACATTATTATCATACAAATCTGCAAAGTTAATGAAGGTAGGCCTATAGAATAAATGTAGTGGAACAAATGTAGTGGAATAAAAGTACACGATTTACCTCTGATTTGTAGTGGGGTAGAAGCACAAAGTAGCATAAGGTGGAAATACTCAAGTAAAGTACAAGTATCTCAAAATTGTACTTAAGTACAGTACTTGAGTAAATCTACTTANTCGGATATTTAATTCTTAACGGTGAGACTACCAGTAGATAGTAACCTCTCCCTTTATGGCCACCGACTTAATGTAGTGGTTATCAGCTATCTTCTGTCTTCCTTGGGTTATTATTTCACATAATCAAGATTTAACGTTCGGAGATTTTGTATCACATTACATATCCAAATAATTTGACCTGGAATAAGTTTCATGTCTACGTTAAGTAGTTTATTAAGACACTCCCATCATATATCTAGATCTATCTACAATTCTACAATCCAAGGAGATCTTTGCAATCCCCGTGTAAACCGAACATGACCTCTGGTCACAGGAACTTGAGAGTAAGGTACCGGACGTACGACATGTGAATCTCTACTTGGTTGTACATAACGAACGTATTAATACTCTAAGATGTAGACCAAGTAGTTTGTGTCCTACCACGAGGTACGGTATGTAGAAGTCTCAGTAATAAGGCGTAGTAACACTCCAGACTACTGGTCTACCCTTCATGACGAGTATATAATACTTCGTTTTATGTACAAACAAATAAGATCACATGTACGTCGCCGGTACCTTACCTCTCTCCTATGACAGCGGTAGTGCGTGGTATACACTCTTTTAACACTTTTGTACAGAATTGACAGATGGCGTACATAGGTGAGTGACCGACACTAGTTGTTTATCAAACAGCCTTATCCTTTCTTTGTAGGTAGGTAGAAGAGGGCGATAGACACAGCCCACGACCATCGTCAAGGTCGTCTCTCGGGGTGTGAAAGGAAGGGACCGTGGAGTGGTCGAGACTGACCCCCTAAGTTCCGTCGAGGGTCCGGTCGCTTCTCTAATTGGGGAGGTGGACCAGGATCTGAATGGGAGTCAGAGCAGGGTCACCTACACGGACCTTGTGGTGGGATCACCGCGGTACACGTAGGCATGACCAACGAGAGCTTGGTGGAGTTACCCGAGGAAACTGCGCTGCCTCTCGCCACAGTTTTGAGACCCAGGGAGGACCTACTGACTGAGAGGGAAGGCTTTAAGAGTGGAATAGGGATACCTTCCCAGTGGTCGGTGGGACGCCTCTTATCTATATGGGTCCGTTAGAGTACGCTCGACCCCTGCTCTGGACGCGTACCACCATTACAGATCCTAGCTAACACATGATAAGCCACTCTCCCTGGTGGAGTATGGAGAGAAGGCGCACCGGACCCCTCGCAGCGAACCGTAGGGGGTCAGTCTCTTCCAGTCCCCATCCTTGCTTACCTTCTTCCAGAAAAACCTGAGGTCTTCTAAGTCGAGGCTAAAAATACTACTTTTTACAGCTGCTTACCCAGAACCCTTTTAACTTGTTTTAGCACTTAGGCCTACCGTATTTACAATGTCGTTTTTAAACATTTTATATCTCATTAATGCATTGTTTTATGAAACTGTTATTCCATTATGTTTATTTATTGTGTTCCTCTCTGTTCAATCATGTGTTAATGATCATGTAAAGCACTTTGAATTGCCTCTGCGTCTGAAATGTGCTATATAAATAAACGTACCTTACCAACCTTACCTTCTCCCCCATTCGGAATTTGACTGTATCAGAGAAGAGGTAGGCCTATGTCTAAAGAAATCTAATTTGCAATAGGACTGTCCCAGATATTTCCATTACAACTACTGGTTGGTGTTCAATAGCACCATAGACAATTCAGTGATGGCATATTTTTTAGGGATTTCAGTTTTTCTGATAAATGAGAGAAAAGGGATTGATTCCTATGTTCCTATCACCAAAAAGTACAATTTCCGTCTAAACTAAAGCTACGTTTACATGACTATAATTCAGTATTTTTTTAGTTAAATAATTGTCTGACTATTTGGTGATGTAGGACAGCCACCTGGTTCATATCTCAGCAAATCTGAAGAGGAAAAGAGTGATCATTCTGAAGTTATGGGCTTTTTTATCACCTTTCCCATATTCGGCCTGTTCTAATTTGGCTCTTTTTCAGGGATTGGGGTAGTTCTAAAGAACAACCCAAAAAACATTTTTTCCCCCAAAATAACATTTGACAACAATCAATTTCATTAACGGGAGACCCTAAAAGATAAGAAAAATCATTGTTGTGTTTTGTTCTACCTCAGGTAGGGGTATCTCAAAATTTGAGGGGCCTTCCTGTTAGACAATAAGTACAGTACTAGAGTCAATGTGTTTACTTTATTTTATAGGCTAATGAAGATTCAATTGAATGCTGTCGCTCCCGTTTGGTAAGACATGAGACTTGCAGGTGGATATGGAGGGTTATACAAAATTGCTACAGGCAGATTCTCTAATTGCCTTTTTACGTTCATGAGTCATGACAGACACAGTATTTGAACTCTTTCTCTTAATGTATTTTTACTTTAGTAGAATTGAATGGTTCTTTCATGCAGTATTCTTGGATGGTGGTATTGTCTTTTTCTCTTAGAATCTGAAATAGTTTTCAACAATTTGTAAGTTAAACACATATGAACCTCTGTAAAAGGGACTTTTTAATTGTACCTTGTAGCCAGTGTATGCACTACATAGCAATCATCAATTCCAAATATTGATGATAAAATCAGAGTAAATACACATTTAAAAAAGGCATTTTATTAACTTTATGCATTTCGAAAGTACAATGAAATTGATTACTTTAAACAACAGAACATTAAGGCTACTGTACTGACACTATGGCCATGATGAAAAAATACTAATAATAATAAAATTAAAAGGTGGCTGTTAAAAAACAAAAAAAACAATATTTTTACATTTTCTGTACAAAACATTTCTGACTGTTTCCAACTAGACTTAGCATGAAGTTGAACTTACAAGTGATCGGTTAAATGTAAGTAGCATTTCATCAGCACATATTACAAAAATAAATTCCCAGCCAACAAGACAAATCAACACATAGTTTACTCAAATATCTCTTAGAATGTCATTATCAAGCTACAATGTCAGATTTTTTGCATTGCTTGTCTGTAGGTCTTTTAGGAGTAATACATTCAAAATGTGTTAAGCTCTCAGTCTCATTGTGATTTAATGAGATGATACTACGCTTTTCCGCAGGACTAGTTCTAACTTACTGTCCTGAGGAGTCAATGCTTTTAGCCTGTCTAACTTGGCTGGACATTGCTTTTTTTACTTTCATTCCCCACTTCCATTTTGTCATCTCTTACCCCTGTGCTTGCATCTTCAGTTTTGCTTATTTTACAAGCAGGACCTTTTTCCTGCTCCTGGCTTGGCCCTTTAACCAACTCTTTTGCTTGAGTCAATGGTCTACCTACCGGTCTACACTCTCTTTCAGTCGGGCTACCCATATGTTTTTGATTTAGGCTAAAAACATCAGGATGGTTAATTGTACGATTTGGAAAGCGCACGAGACCTGTTGGGGTAGGAAGTAGGGCAACTCTGTGTGATTGTCCTCCACTGTTTTTAGCTGCACCTATGTTTGATTCAGAATGTGGATCACTAGGGCCTTGAGATCTGGTACTTGGATGAAGACTATTGAAATGAGGCGAGGTTCCCCTTATATCTGATCCTTGCATGTCTATGTTTATGGGGGGTTTAGATCCCCTTAAATCTAACCCTGGGCCCATTATGCCTGGACCCCTCCTATCAGACCCAGGGCCCTCAGTTTCTGTAGGCCACCTCCCAGGTCTGACATCTGAACTTCCAGGTGCTGGCTCCCTATTGGTGTTACCATGTCCTATTCTTCTCATGTCTGGACCCCTCATTTCCCTCCTAAAATCATGCTGAAATCCTTGTCTATCTGTTCCAGGGTTTTCCATGTCTACCTGCCTTTCAGATCCTAGTCCCCCACAATCTGAAAATCTCCCATCAGTCCCAGGTCCTTCCATGTTTCGCTCTCTCTTAATACCCCTGAAGTCTGGCTTCCTACAGTCATCCCCCATGTCTTGACCCCATCTCATATCGGATCCTATTTCTCTCATGCCTGGATCTCTTATATCATGGCTTTGTCCACTGTTTTCTGTATCTCTTTGCCTACTGAGAAATGGCCCAGACCTCCTTCTGTTGGGCCCAAACCCTCGATCAGGCTCTCTCCTCCCACGTCCTCCCCTACTGGGCCCTTGGCATTTCATGTCTGGGTCACCCTCGACAGGATCTGGACCTCTATAGCCAGGACCATCATCTCCTGGACCTCTCAAAGGCCCGGGAAATGGCATATTTTGTCTTTCTTGTATGGGCCTTGGCCCAATACTTCCAGGGCCACTCCATCCCCTTCGAGGACCTTGCCTAGTATGTGCTTGAGCATGCTCAACTGGACCTTCTTGGTTGGGGCCTGGACCCCTGTTGTCATGTCTATTCCAATCATCTCCTGAACATTCTATTTCATTTCCTACAGCCTCCATATTGGGTCCTCTTCCATCTGACCATTGTTCCACTCTGTCTGGGCCTCTCATATCAGGTGCAGAGCCCCTGAAACTTCTCATATCTGGCCCATGCCCTCTTATGTTTCCCCTGATAGGTCTTGAACCCCTTACATTTCGAGATATAGGTTCTTGGATAGGTTCTGATCCTCCATAGTCAGCCTCTCCCCAGCCATTTCTTCTTTGTCTCATACCTTCTCTTTTTGGACTTCTGTGCCTGATTCCTGGGTCCCTAAAGTCATGACTACCTGGTCTTCTCCAATCTGGTCCTTGGCCCTCAAAATCTGGACTCCTCGTTTCAAGTCCAGGCTCTTTGAAGCCTGAATCTCCTGGTACTTGTCTGTCAGGCCCTGGGCACTTAATGTCTGGAACTCTAAAATCTAGACCTCTTGGACACGGACTATTGAGCCCTTGAACCTCCATAACATTTCTTTCAGGCCTAACCCCTCTTGAGTACGGATTTCTTCTATCAGACCCTGGGCCCACTATGTCTGAAGGTCTTCTTTCTAGCTCAGGAGCCCTAAAGTGTTGGCCACCTGGAAAGTCCCTGCTCTCAGAGTTTTCCTCTGTCTCTGGAAGCCTTCTATTTGGACCACGACCTCTAAAATGTTGACCTTCTCTCCTCTCAGGCCTTGGGCTTTCTTTGTTTGGATCTGAATGCCCTGGTTTCCTCATGTCTGGACCATCTGACATTGTCCTGTTGAAATCTGGACCCTCCATACCAAAACCTTGTCGTCCCCTGTTGTTTGGAGCTCCAGGTCCTCTCATGTCAGGCCCAGAACCTTCCATTGCTTGATTTCTAGTTAAAAGTCCTGGTTCTCTGAAATCTGGACTGCCAGGACCTCTAATGTCAGGCCCAGGTCGCTCCAAAGATGAACTTCTCCTTTCAGACCCAGGTCTTCTGAAATGTGGACCATCAGGTACTACTTCCTGTCCTCTAACTCGAGGCCCTGGACCTTCTATGCCTGGACCACTAAAGTCTGGAACTTCTGGTTCTCCTGTGTAAGGCCCTAAACCAGTGATACCAGGACCTCTTATATTGGATCCTGGTCCACTGAAATCTGGACCTCCTGGTCCTCTTCTGCCAGGTCCTGGAGCCTCCATAGATAAGCTTCTTCTCTCAGGTCCTGGTTCTCTGAAACCTGGACCTCTAGTACCTCTCCTGTCAGGCCCAGGACCCTCCATAGATAAGTCTCTGCATTCAGACCATGGTACCCGGAAATTCGGACCTTGAGGTCCTCTCTTGTCACGCCCAGGCCCCTCCATAGATAAGCTTCTGATTTCAGGCCCTGGTCCTTTAAAATCTGGACCTCCGGGGACTCTCATGTCAGGCCCAGGACCCTCCATAGCTGGACCTCTTCTTTCAGGTTCTGGCTCTCTGAAATCTTGACCACTAGTTCCTCTTCTGTCAGGCCCAAAACGCTCCATAGATAAACTTCTTCTCTCAGGCCTTGGACCTCTGAAAACTGGACCTCCAGGTCCTCTCCTGTCAGGCCCATTACCCTCCATAGGAAAGCCTCTGCTTTCAGGCCTTGGCCCCCTGAAATCTGGGCATCCAGGTCCCCTGTCGGGTCTAGGAGCATCCATAGCTGGACTTTTTTTTCCAGTTCCTAGATCTATGAAATCTGGACCTACAGGTCCTCTCCCGTCGGGCCCAGGACCCTCCATAGCTGGACCTCTCCTTTCAGCTCCTGTTCCTCTGAAATCTGGACCTCCAGGTCCTTTCCAGTCAGGCCCAGGACCGTCAAAAGCTCGACCACTCCTCTCAGGCCCTGGCACCCTGTAATCTAGACCTCTGGGCTCTCTCCTGTCAGGCCCAGGACCCTCCATAGCTGGACCTCTTCTTTCAGTTCCTGGTCCTTGGAAATCTGGACCTCCGGGCCCTCTTCTGTCAGGCCCAGGACCCTCTATTGATGAGCCTCTGCTTTCTGGCCCTTCTCCCCTATAAACTGGACCTCTAGGTACTCCCCTGCCAGACCCAGGGCCCTCCATAGCTGGACCTCTCCTTTCATGTCCTGGTCCCCTAAAATCTGGCCCTCCAGGTCCTCTCCTGTCGGGCCCAGGTCCTTCCATAGATAAGCCTCTGCTTACAGGCCCTGGTCCCCTAACATCTGGCCCTCCAGGTCCTCTTCTGTTAGGCCCATGACCCATCCTATCCTGATCATTCATTTCAAGTCCTGGTCTCACAAATTCTGGACCCCCTGGTGCCATGAAATTGGGACCCACTGATCTTTTCCTGTCAGGCCTAATGTCCTCTATCAGTCCACAGCTCATTTCAGACGCTGGTCCTCTAAAGTCTAGGTCTCCAACCCCTCTTCTGTTAGGTACTTGGTTCTCCAGGTGTGGACCTCTACTGTTAGGTGGAGGGACTCTCCATTCATCTTGTATAAATGGCCCTTCTCTGAGTGGACCTGATCCTCTCATATCTGTACCTCTGCAATCATCTCGTATGACTGTTCCTGGGTCACCACAATCTATACCTCTCATATGTAGACCCAGACCTATATTTTGACTCGTTTGACCCCTTATATCGGGATCAGCAACGGGACCTGGACCACTCCAATCAGGAGTTTTAATGTTAAGCATGCCATCGCCCCTTGTATCTGAGCCACCCATACTACCAATATCTTGACTAGGCCCCATGTAACTTCCTCTTTGTGTCATATTTGGCCTTCTTAATTCACAAATAGTTTCTGATTCTTTCATGTCAGTGCCATGCATACTCTTTCCAGCTGTCATACCGGGACTTGTCTTCTTAAAAGGTTCTCTAGGCCCACTGTCTTCTCCAAAGAAGGGTATGTTAGAACCACCACTTTCATAATTAATGTTTGGCCCTGGTCCTCTCATGGGTACATTTTGCCCTTTTTGTGGACCCCACCTCTCATGAGCAAATAAAGGCTCTCTTGTGCCCCTTATATCAGCTTCAGTTCTATGTGACGAAGGGCTCTTTATGACTAGATCTCTACTCTTGTTCTGTAGATCTGATCCTTCCCCACATGAATTTATAACAGCTGGTACAAGCATTTGTCCACTCACTTCTGTTTCACTGTGCATCATATCAGGAGCTGGAGCTGTGAGTTCTAGGTTCAAGCCTTGCATACTAGATACGTTTTGTGTATGTGATCCAGGACCCCAAATGGTGGTACCTTTTCCTTGCATGTCTGGGCCTCTCCTATTGGGGCCTGGGAATCCAGTTTCTGTTACTCTAAGATCTATCTGTGGTTCAATATGTCCAGGTCCTGGCTGTTTTGTCACAGGATCTTTTTCAGTTCCTGAGGCCTGAATATCTGAGCTTATAGCTCGAATTGAATCCCCCTCCCCTTGACCCAGTATTTTAGGATGTTTTAAGCCTGGATGTCCCATTTCTATCTGTTTGTCTGCCTCATTTATAACATCATCTTTGAACCTTTGTCCCTCTAGAACTAAGGCACCTCGACCGGTTGGCCACAGTATTTTGGACATTGTTGCTTGACCACCAATAGGCAAACAAATACTAACAACTTTATCATGTGGCATTGAGACACTGGTAAGGGTCTGAGGATCTCTGATTTCCTCAATTGTAGGGCCCCTCTTTTCTGTGCGAATAGGTTTTACAAACTGTGGCTCTGGATCAGGGCTCTGAGGAGAATCTCTAAGGGGCGGATCCGTTTCACGTAGAGGAACTGGAATTTCAAATTTGCTAAACAGAGTTTCAAGTTGAGAGGGTATATTCACCTGGTTAGAGGAACCACTATCTGTGTCGCCACTGACAGACGTGTTTTGAGGCTCTTGGGACTTTGGATCTTTTAAAGTATTAAGCTTGAAATTGTGAAGAAGTTCATGTGAAGAGGGAGAAAAGCCTTCATCAACACTCTTAACAAGATTACTTTTTAGCTGATGTCCAACAGGAGGGTAATTTTGAATAGTAACTGAACTGGATGATGATTGGTTACTCTCTAAAAATGTTCCATCAACAGAGTCTAAAGAGTCTGGAGCATTACACAGAACAGTTAAAGGCTTTGATATCTCAAGGATTTGAGGTGAAGGATCTCTGTTCCATTTTGGCGATATGGACCCAGAATCTGTTTTTCTAGGAGAACATGGGGATCTTCTACGCCCATGAGAATGCTGCCGTGGGGTATGCTCTTTACGTTGGCGACCTTGGCGGTCAGACTGGTCTCTTGCTCTATGCCTTGACCTGTCCCTTTCACTTTTTCTGTGTCTATCCTTTTCTCTATGTCTCCGGGAATGTGAAGGAGAACGTCGCTGTGATCTTTTAGAAGGACTTCCATGGCGGCTCCTTTCATGATGACTCCGCCTCTTTGGTGATAACTTTCTCTTTCTGCTATGGTGTGAACTCAGAGGACTGCCCTTGCGAGAGGCACTATGCCCTGTTCTCGACAAAGATAAATCACGGGTCTTTATACTGCCTCCTTGAAAAACATCATCTTGAAATTCATCAAAAAGTGATTCATCTTCAGGATCATAAGCTACATCAGAGTCTTCAATCTCACCCGCAGAGGAATATTTGTCACTTTCTTTAACATCAGCCTGTGTTTTATCTTGCTCTGTAACTGTTTCTGCATCCTTTTCTACATTAGGTGTGGCAGTTGTGTCTTGTTTAACAGTTTGTGAATCTACATTTGAACTGTCCTCAGTCTCTGTAAGGTTGCTGGTCTTGTCTGTTGATTCTGACAGTCGACTGAGAGGCAAAGCTTTTTGTGGGGGAGACATCAGGGAATCAGAAACAGAAAAGCGAGCCATAAAGATACCAACAGCCTCTCTCTGTTGACGTAGGGCCTCTTCCTGCTCCTTCAATTGCTGTTTTTGCTCTTCAATCTGCCTATTGAGATCCTCAAGCATTCGTTGTTGTTCAGTTAGTGTTGCAGCTGAGACAACCACAGTGCCTGTAGGAATGTTCTGCATTATTACAGCTTGGGTAGAGGATTGCACGGCAGTGGAGTTGGGAGTTGGTGTTTTAATCTGGGTGGATATTGGGGTTTGGCATGATGGAGTACCTGACGTTTGAGTTTGAGCAGGGGGCTTTGTCACAGCAATATCCCTTTGCATATCTGCAAAGATAGTGTCGTCTTCTGGATCATAGGCCACATCATCGTCTACACAGCCTGATACTGCAGGACCCTCTGCCTTCATTTTCTCAATGTTCTGAGGAGCAACCATTCCATATCCCATTGCTGAATCATACTCCTCTTCTGGGTCATATGGTCGGTCAAAGTCATTTTCGTCTTCTTCTTCTATTTTTTTTACTTTTGATTTCTGTCCATATTGTTGGACAATTGGATCCACCATTGATCGAGACACCTTAGAAAACACTGGGACCTTCTTAACATGAACTGTTGCAGTTGAAGATTGTACGTCAGAAGAGACAACGGAGTCAGTTTGCTTATTGCCAAACAAACTTTTCAAGATGGTCTGCAGTGGTGACTTATTACTGGATGCTGCTGTGGCATTTTTGTCGCTCTCAGAGGTGGACTGGGTGGCAGCAACTGCAGCTGAGGTAGAGAAAGGAGGGTTTGTTCTAAAAGAATTATAACAAGATGGTAGGGCAACTGACCCAGAAGAGGACGAGTCTGATGGTGACCCAGGGCAAAGTGGTGAGCCAGGAGGGGAGGTGTTAGCAGGAGTCTCAGGATCGTAGGGTTGAAATATTTCCAATTTGTCAGAACCATAGAGGACTGGGGGTTTTGGGATCCACATAGGGTCTTTGGACATATTCACTTTGGGTCTCTTCTCTTCAATTTCCTGAGGCAAGCTTCCTGGACGTTTTGTCTTTTGGATGACAGCCAGACCCAGAAGAAGATTTGGCCGGTTTTTTTCAAAACCTATGAAATTAACAAAAAGTACAAATATAGAATTAGAACAGGTTAAGAACTAACAATGGGCTTCCCATTATTGATATTTTTTTTACTTTTGCCAGAAAGGTAAAACAGTTATTCAGATTCACAAAAGAAAAGGTTCAGGGACCAATAATGAAATTATCTGACACCAAAAACGAATCATAAGAGAGGGAAGTGAGCAATTTTCTCCTTTTTAGGGATAGCATATGTTAACATTTTGTTCAGGAGATGGAACAGCCCCTGCTGTTCCACATTCAGACCCCTTAAAGATCTCCTATCATGCTATTTTTAGGCATACTGTATATTATGGGTCTCAGATATATACAAATATATAAAAACATGTCTATGATGTTTTTTGCTCAAAATACCAAACCGATCATGCAATTTAGACATCCCTCATATCCCTCTATTTCAGTCCTGTTAGAGAACTGCTGATTCTGTGACTGTAGCTGCTGGCCCCGCCCCCTTTTGAGCATGTCAAGGAAAGCTGTGAGCTGCAGAGGGAAGAGAGAGATTTCTACCAGCAGATACAGCTAAATGCTGCCGTTATTAAATGCCATATCATGTTCCAAACCACATCAAGGATTATATCTGAAACAATATGGAGCTCAAATGCTTTTTCTCTTGCGGGTTAACCACAAGGTGAGTTCCTTTTTTTATTTCCTGCTTTTTTACACATACTCTCTGCAGTACAGGTTAGCTCTGAGTGTTAGCGATGCTTGCTAATGTAAACAAAGATCCTATTACGTCCAAAACACACGTGCATTGTTTCTGATAGCAACGTTTCTGATAGGGCTGTCGGTCTAAAGCCAGCCCACATTTCCGATATTACGTCATATCGGCAGCAAATCTGGATCAGCACCGTTGTACCCCCGTTTTTAGCGATTTGGGTACGGAGGAAAAGAGTTTCTGACACTTTGTGAGTTCCCTGACACACCGGGGACACATATTTATGTATAAAAGCATGATAGGAGACCTTTAAATAATTAAAACAGGAAATGTATTCATTTATGGGGCTATAGCCGCCTGAAAGCTGTTGTTTTTCGTAATTGAAGGTGTTGACATAGCCCAAAAATACCGAAGGTTATCCTCAAACACTTTAAGATGTAAAGGATTATCACACCTGGTCCGTCAAGAGGTTGGAGTATGGTTGGGATTGATTCCTTTGCACTTAGTGGGACAAGGTATATATCTTTGATGGAACGGCTGCCATTGGCGACCACACCATAACGACCTCTGCTGTTGAAGTAGGAAAATAGGGAGACATAGGCCACCTCTTCCTCCTCGGTTGCAGGGTGAAACCGGATCACACATAACTCCTGATAAACAGAAAACAAAAATAATAAACGTGATATATTGATAGGTATCCAGTGCTATTGTACAAGACACCAAAAGGAATCGAAAAACGACTGCTTGCCTTTGTAACAGAGGTCTTTAGTTTTGCAACATAGTCCCACACTGTTTGAGGCAGGATTCGTCCTGCTATTTGTATGGTATCAGGTAGATCCTAAACACAAGGGGAAAAAAGAAAATATATTTTCTTTAACTCAACTGTTGATAATGTCAGATAATTTTCAATTCAACATGTATTATCGTGCACCACTATACCGCTTTGAGATTTTCAGCCGTTCCTGAAACCATATATCCTTTGGTGACAAACTTGGCCACAGAGAGCATGTTTAGGAAGCCTTTCCACACTATCTCATGCTTAGCCAAGAACTGGGAAGTTTCACCATCAGCTGGGGATTCAGAGATCACAGTCCTGGGACACAAAACACAACAGCATAATGATAATCATATTCACGCATGATGCTGATTTAGTCTCAAATGTAAACCACCTGACAAACAAAATAAGAGTTATTCTATTATAATGTTATTTAACCACCTTGAGGATGTCCCATAGAGTCTGGGATCAGCAGAGGATGATGGCTTCATTAAGATCGACTTGGGTAATGGTTTTGTTGGTGGTCCCAAGTGCGTTGGTGCTGAGGGCGACGCAGAGGTAGTCTCTTGACGAATAGAATAAGATGCTGATTGGTTATTGGTTGTGTTACTTGGACTGGATGTGCCTCTAGACGAAGAAGACCTGTTTGCGGCAGTGCGGGGGTCACGCCTTGTGATAGTAACTGTAGAGACTGCTGGGATCACAACTGGTGTGTAGGATCTCTGTTGTGTGGTAGTTTTAGGAGTGTCTGGAGTTGGGGAAGCAGGGGATTCCATGACAGGGGAGGCTGGAGAGTCCATTATAGGGGACGCTGGGGATTCAACGATAATCAGCGCTGGAGCGTCAATGATAAGACGGGGTGAATAATCCATAAGGGATGTTGGAGAATCCATGTCAGGTGAGTCAGGTGGGGCCCTCAGAGGAGAGTCATCTCCGGCACACTTTCTCCAAGAGCGTTCATATTTATCTCTTGTCTCAGAAATCTTGGGTTTTTTCTTTGCCGGTTCCTCGTCTTCCCCAACGAACATTTGACCTTCAGGAAAAAATAAGAATGTATTTAAAACACTTAATGTAACAATAAGTGGCCATTGGAAAATAATTTCTACAAAGTTTTTGTATAGCAATCGTGAAATCACTTTTTAATTCACCTGTGCATATTTTGCATTTCAGGTCAAAGAGATGAGCTTTGTGCTCTGATGTTGTGTCCTTCAGCATGCAGGAGAGAATATCTGGTACAGCACTGCCCTGGTTCGGCTGGCTTGTTCTGGTCTTGGGAGCAAGAGCAGGAAGGTTTTTCTTTTGTTCCTGGAACGCAAACTTTACAGACACAAATATAATTAAATCACAAAGATATCATAACATCCATGTACTTTCAGGATTCATTTTTATAAGGTGCAGGAGTAACAAGGAAAAAGTACACACCGTGCTTCTAGCAGGTCTAGTGGGATTCAAACTGGGCAAATCCACCTTCACTGCCTCAGGCTTTTGCGGCAAACTTGTCGCTTTAGCAGCTGCATTCTTAACCTAGATACAAAAAAGCAAAAGATAACCACTTCTGAAAACTTGATCCTTTAAGTTGAAGCACAATACCTGATTCTGTCTTGGTTGTTGTGTTTAATATCTATAACACTTTACCTCTGTAGTTTCTTTTGCACTTGGCTCTGATGCTTTGGTAGCCTGCATATCCTTCTGGCTCATTCTGGCCAGTCTGAAGGGACTGATCTCTCCACGTACGACACGATACAACAAGCCCTAAGGAAAACGCAAAACTGACTGTCAGTTTTCTAAAAACATAATTATCTATAACAAATCTTAAAAAAACATGTCTCTTGGCAAATGTTTGCTGTATTGCAAGTAGAATAGAGATCACAAAACAGAAATGGGTTTTATCAACATTACACAAACCTTGTTTTTTGGGTCTTTCAGGTTGAACATAATAGTTCTGTACTTGTTCATGTATTTGCTGTCTGTGTTGCGAAATATGTCGAACATCTCCGTCTCAATGCTTGAGACAAGCTTTGCTATGTCACTCTCGGACATCTCCAAGTCCTCACAATCGCACACCCTTAAAAAATTCAAACGCAGTTAGTAAAGAAAATTGCATCATTGCACTCAAATGTAGTTTAAAGTGAAACATATATATTGGGCTATATTAATATTTTTTATAAAGTGCAGCATTTTCAGGTAAGTAATACATATATAGTATATCCTGATTACGTTTGATCTGTTAAAAAATTGATTAAATTGCTAGTTATAAAAGTGCAGAGGGTTGTGTTTCAATAACTGACTACATTATAAAGTAATCTGACCCAACCCTGCATGCTTATCAAATAATTTGTTTTATACATACTAAAACTATTCAGAGCATTAACCCTCAGCAATAGGTCAAATTTGTAAAATTTTGTAAGGTTAAATAATAGGACTTTTATACAAATCTTACACAGTTCTCACCTTTTGAACAGGATGCTGATGAGGGAGCGCTGGATGCTCTGTCTGACTTGGGTATTGGGCTGGGAGGGTCTGGAGGAGGGAGCACTGGGTGCAGGGGGCACCAGCAGATTTCTGGTTTCGTTCATCAGCGTTGGGGCAGAAGAAGGCTTTTGGCCCGACGTCGAGGCTGACAGGTGGCTGGGTGGAGCCTGGGGGGCAGGGTGCTTCTTTGGTATGACGTACGCGGTCTTAGTGACCATAAGAGCCCCTGTTTCATGATGTCTGGGAGCTGAGGTGGAGGGGGATTGTGGGGCAGGAGGTACACTCGTTTTTGTTGGGTTTGGTGGTATAGAGGGATCTGAATATGCAGATTGCTGCTGAGGCACTGCACTGTTGGTTGGCTGCTTTGTCTGTTCTTCAGAGTGGCTCTGTGTCGATGGTGTCTCAGCGGCAGGCTGGGAAGAGGGGGCAACATCAGTCGAGGTCTCATCTGCAGGTGGTTTGGTAGAAGTTGCAACCTCACTGTCTGCCTCTACCTGTTCATTGTCCTTTATAGCTGTTGGAAAAAAGAAAAGCATGGCATCGTGTAAATATGAAGGACTATCTAACCTTTGTGACATAAACCAACTTGTGCAAGAAAAGTTGTTTTTATAAATGTATTGAAAAATCGGATGGCTATGATTAAAACAATTATCTTTCCATTTAAAAAGGGACTTATCCTTTCCAGGGCTATGGGCTGACATTGGGAGAGGGGCCTGGTACACCCTGGTCAGTAACCAGGCAATACCAGGGGTGTAGGAAGGGGTATTCTTTCAGTCATGTTGATGGTTACAGACACATAGAGGCAGCAGAAACAGATTTGTCTATTTTTGCTTCATGCAATGTGCAAATTAACTTTCCTAAAATAATAATCTGTTTTTATTTTTTCTTCAAGTTTTTGCGAAGTTTAATTTCTCAAATCAAGGCTTTGTTAATATGACCTTTTAGGCCTATTTTACATGCTAAAGTGCTTTAAAGGTCCCAACAATATTCATGAGAAAGCTCAGTAAAACATTTGACAGACCCTCACTCACCAAAGGGTTTCAGGGGTAAAAGATAAATATCACCTTATGGAAAAATCTCAAAGAACAACACGCCTACAGTGAAGGCTCGAATGTGCGGTTTATGGAAGCACTCTTGCAGTTATTCCTTGTGTCCTCTAGTGATTTTCAATTTTGAAATATCAGTAAAATGTTTATCTTCTTCCACAGTTCTCTCATAGGATGCAACAACATTCACCTGCTTGGCGATATCCTTCTTTGTTTGCAGTAGATAAAGGCCATTTGAAGGATATGAATAATAGTTCTGCCATTTATTACCAGTGTTGGGCAAGTTACTTCCAAAATGTAATATATTACATATTACTTATTACTCTCTTTTGAAAGTAATAAGTTACATTACAATATTACTGTCTCTGAAATGTAATGAGTTACACTACTTTAGTTACTTTTTAGTTACTTTCACCAAAATAACCGCAAAAGAATGGCTAGGTATTTTAAATGCTAAAATGTAGTTATTGTACATTGAAAGCAATTCTAGAACCCTGAAGGCAGGAGAGACTGAAAAGAGTCAAGGGAAGCTTATAAAAGTTAAAGCATTTAATTACACAAAAGATGCGGTGGTGTAGAAAATGAAATGTGCGAGTGGAGGCGCTCTCTCCACATCCGACCGGTCAGTTCAGATCAGGGGGTCGAAGAGATCAATTCTTGGCTTGCTCTTCCTGTTGTCATCTAAGGTCTTCTCCTATTGGCCGGCGTAGTCGGGGGGCGGGTCCAATGCAATTCCTGCCTTTTTCTGTAGCTAAATTGGATCATTCTGGCATCTGTAGTTATTTAAACATTCCCTGCTACACATTATTCAGCGTCAATAAATGAGTAATAATCCCAGTGTGCTCAATGTATAACATCACATGTCATTTCACCTTGGTTCAAGGTTTGAAATCGTATCATTCCGCCAGATGCTAAATGCTAACCAGAAGTGACACATTTTCAGAATAAAAGTGTTAAGCTAATAGTGAGAACTTCCGGTTTTTCAGAATAAAACTGATTTAAATCAAATAGTGTATTTAATTCAAATTACGCCATATCAACATTGATTTTAATTTCTAACAACATCCAGTGAAGGGCGATGTGGTATAGCATAACAACTGTAGGTCCTTAAGGCTACTAACAACTTGTATTACACGGCTTAGTTGAATACTCGATTCTGATTGTAAATTCTTAACATGTGACACGTTGTTAATACAGCAGTGCAGGCCACTGTCAAGGACTATAATGAAGATTTCTAAGGATGATCAAGAAAGAGAAAGGAAAAGAGGTTAAAAGACGAAGCGCTGGACGTCAGATAAATCACCAGAAGAAGGCAGACATGAGTATACCATAACAGGACACGGAATGGGCTCTGTAGTTTGTTTAGTATATGGCCGTGTACAGGCCCGGTTCCAGAACAAAATGACTCAAGCACCTGCTGCCTAGTCCGAATAAATGAGAGCGTTCCTAGCGACCTCCCCCCGGGACCCTCATGCGAGTGAGGTCAGATGTACACAAACACCTGAAAAACCCTCTTTCCGCCATACTGGCGCCAAGGTCCCTCAGTGACTACCCCACGACGCCCTCATACCCCAACTCCCCCAGAGATGATCCGGGTAGTTAGAGACCATGAGGGTTTCGCTCTCGACACAGGGCGCAGGAGCCCGTCGATTCAGCCCTGGGTAAAGTCCCACTCTCCCAACCGGAGCGGTTCCGAACGCGAAACACAGTGGTTAGGACAAACATTATATGTACCTAGCCTAAGCTCCGCATTCAGCACCCCTCCCCCAGACGTCAAGCCGACCTGATTCCTAACGTGGTGACGAAACGTCTTACTACACCAAACTAACCGAAGTAGCAAGACGCTGGAAAGTCGTGAGTGACCTAGCCAAGTCGGTTGGCTCACACTTCGCCGACCCTACCTACTAGCTAGTCGTGGAGGTTTAGACTCCGGTACAAGAGTCGTCCTTGGCTACCTGACAGGTGAGGTTAAATCCCTTACTCAGGGAATGGGGGGTTCACTTCTCAAGTTTCGATAGAAGCCCCAGAACAAGAGCTCACTCCCTTGTGTTACCTTCGCACTCCGTAACCAGCCCTCTTAGCCTTCGTAGCCTCTCGCCAATGACGTCAGAGAAATGGCCGGTGGCAAACACCTGCTTTTCCCCCCGTCGACCTCGGTCTTTCCGTTTCGAGAGACAGATGGGCGTGGGTAAAAGCAAGGATGGGGGAGGTGGGATAACCGCAGGTACTTCCTTACCCAGTACTGGCTTTCTTGGCCTCTAGCGCCCATGTCGCCGCGCTCCTACCCAAAAGAGGCGTCCCACCGACCACACAGAGGGGAATCCCTATTCCAACTCTTCACAAGGCAGTAGTCCTCTCCCTGAGCCTCTCAAACCTCGGCGAAGGAGGAAGCGCCCAGCTTCCTCCGGTCAACTCCACCAAGCCGTGGATCAATCCCTTACGGTGGACCCGCGGAGAGGGGATCCCTTCCACAAAAGGTCCGTGCAAGAGGTCGACCTTCTTCTCTTCCCCATCTGGATCTTGTCTACCTCCCTAATATAGAGAAGCGACGGACCCTTCGCGGAACCCTAGGGGTGCTGATTCACACCACCTACTCCACGGTCCCTTTTCTTTCAAACCCCGAGAGACGACGACCTTGACGATGGAGGCGCTGGGCTGGTGCCTATTCGGCCCTCTTCCTACCTACCTACCTACTACCCAACCCCAGTAATACTGGGCGGACCGCCTTTATCCCATTGTTGTTGTTGCTCTCCACGATCGGGATGTATTGTGTGAAAGTCCACACACACCACACACACACACCACACACACACACACACACACACACAACACACACACACCACACACACACACACACACACACCACAACACACCACACACACACAACTCACACACACAAACAACACTCTCTCTCTCTGAACCGAATTACTTCGCACACGTCACGACACACACACTCTCTGTTCTCTGAAATGTCGTCCACCACACGGGGGGGGGGCACCATTTACTAACGGGGGGGTTAAGCTAAACAAGACCTCGGCTGGGACAGAAGGTCCAGTGTTTCAGTTGGGAGTGTACTACCTACACTTATGGTCAAAAATCGTGTCATTTATAAGAGAAGGGTCTCTACCCTGGTTCCACTACTACATCATGTACCCAAAATTATTATGAAAAACGAAAAAGTTACAAACGGTAAAGTTTGGTACTCGACCAAGTTTATTATAAACGGAACTAAATGTTATACAAGAAGTAAACAAAATAGTCAAGTCGAAACTTCGAAATCTGATATACTTTATAAAGTCCTAACGTGAAAATTGAGTGACTTTACAAGAGTGAACGAACCAAAGTTTTGTATTGTTTCCGGTATTAGACAAGTAACCCCTGGTAGTTACGATAAAAAGTAACGACAACAACGCCGGTGATAACGAGTACATTTGGATGATGACGACGCGGGGGACATTAGAG